GACAACAAAACCAGATGCACTAATAACTCGTCACAAAGATCGAGTTTAAGTGCCTTAAGCTTTGAAGCAATATGAGACATTTCCATAATGTACTCCCTGATATTTCCTTTGCCCTTATACTTCATTGAAATCAAGCGAGCTAAAAGCGTGCTTGTTTCTACCTTATCGTTTTTCGCAAAACGCTTCTCAATTTCGGCAAGGAAATCTTTAGCCTTAGTAATCCCTTCGGATTCTATGCCCCTGAAGGCTTCCGGAACGCCGCGCTTAATGATCATAAGACTCATGCGATTTGAACGCTCCCACTTCTCATGCTCCTTCTTTGCATCAGGAGTGCTATCCGCATTGAGAGGTTGGGGTTGTTCAGTTCTTAATGCATAGTCAAGATCCATGCAGCCAAGAACAATTAATATGTTCTCTTTCCAAACCTTGAAGTTTGTCCCATTTAGCATGGGAATTGAGTTGATGTTAGTAGAAATAGTTGCAGCAGATGCATTAGCTGAAATAAAACAAAAAATACTCACATCAATAACCATAATCAATAAAATTCAAATAATGACAATCCCCATCCAAGATACCGGCACAACATTAATATCAAGTCTTTGGACAGTAATATTAACTTGTAAGTGATACCTTGTTGCAATGATCAAACATTGACAATAACTCATGTCAAATAATGAAACTATCTTTGGATCGATTCATTATTCACATGTAAACCTTATAATTGTCACACGCTTATCATAAATAAACATTAACCTTCCTTTGGGCCAATTAAATATTTACACGAAAGCATACACACAAACATCTCACATTCCTCATGAACAATCTACACAAGAGAGGTTACTTTGGCAACTTCTTGTTTCAATTAATCAATTGGAGTGAGAGACAACCTTAATACCTTAGTGTCATAATATTTGAATTAAATAATTGATTAAAAACCGAATTAGATTTAAATTAAAAAATTTAAATCAACTGAATTTCCAAAAACTTAATTGGGGTCTCACAGCTTAATTAGGGCCCATAACTTAATTGAATAAATTAAGTATACCAAAGTGGACCCATGAAAAGCCGAGGCTTAACCATAATGAACACGAAGTTCCCTTAACTTCGAACGCGAGGTTCGACTGTATTGAGTACGAGACTCACTTAAGCACGAACGCGAGAGTTTAAGTGCCTTAAGCTTTGAAGCAATATGAGACATTTCCATAATGTACTCCCTGATATTTCCTTTGCCCTTATACTTCATTGAAATCAAGCGAGCTAAAAGCGTGCTTGTTTCTACCTTATCGTTTTTCGCAAAACGCTTCTCAATTTCGGCAAGGAAATCTTTAGCCTTAGTAATCCCTTCGGATTCTATGCCCCTGAAGGCTTCCGGAACGCCGCGCTTAATGATCATAAGACTCATGCGATTTGAACGCTCCCACTTCTCATGCTCCTTCTTTGCATCAGGAGTGCTATCCGCATTGAGAGGTTGGGGTTGTTCAGTTCTTAATGCATAGTCAAGATCCATGCAGCCAAGAACAATTAATATGTTCTCTTTCCAAACCTTGAAGTTTGTCCCATTTAGCATGGGAATTGAGTTGATGTTAGCAGAAATTGTTGCAGCAGATGCATTAGCTGAAATAAAACAAAAGAATGCTCACATCAATAACCATAATCAATAAAATTCAAATAATGACAATCCCCATCCAAGATACCGGCACAACATTAATATCAAGTCTTTGGACAGTAATATTAACTTGTAAGTGATACCTTGTTGCAATGATCAAACATTGACAATAACTCATGTCAAATAATGAAACTATCTTTGGATCGATTCATTATTCACATGTAAACCTTATAATTGTCACACGCTTATCATCGCAGATGTGTATACAGTCTAAATAAATATTAACCTTCCTTTGGGCCGATTAAATATTTACACGAAAGCATACACACAAACATCTCACATTCCTCATGAACAATCTACACAAGAGAGGTTACTTTGGCAACTTCTTGTTTCAATTAATCAATTGGAGTGAGAGACAACCTTAATACCTTAGTGTCATAATATTTGAATTAAATAATTGAACCGAATTAGATTTAAATTAAAAAAATTTAATTTAAATCAACTGAATTTCCAAAAACTTAATTGGGGTCTCACAGCTTAATTAGGGCCCATAACTTAATTGAATAAATTAAGTATACCAAAGTGGACACATGAAAAGCCGAGGCTTAACCATAATGAAAACGAAGTTCCCTTAACTTCGAACGCGAGGTTCGACTGTATTGAGTACGAGACTCACTTAAGCACGAACGCGAGGTTCGTCTGAAAATGAACGAACGCGAGGTTCGTTTGATAAAAGAACGCGAGGTTCAACTTGGGAACGAACGCGAGGTTCGTTTAAAAAATGAACGCGAGGTTCGACTGAAGTACGAACGCGAGGTTCGTCTGAAGTACGAACGCGAGGTTCGTCTGAAGTACGAACGCGAGGTTCGTCTGAAGTTCGAACGCGAGGTTCGTCTGAAGTACGAACGCGAGGTTCGCCTGAAGTACGAACACGAGGTTCGTCTGAAGTTCGAACGCGAGGTTCGTCTGAAGTACGAACGCAAGGTTCGTCTGAAGTACGAACGCGAGGTTCGTCTGAAGTACGAATGCGAGGTTCGTTAAAGTTGAGCGCGAGGCTCACCTTAATTCTGAGCGTGAGGCTCACCTTAAGAACGAACGCGAGGTTCGTTAAACTTGAGCGCGAGGCTCACCTTAATTGTGAGCGCGAGGCTCACCTTAAGAACGAACGCGAAGTTCGTTGAGCGCGAGGCTCACTTGATAACGAACGTGAAGTTCGTTTGAACGCGAAGTTCGGTTAAAATTGAACGAACACGAGGTTCGTTTGAGGTAATCACCTCCTTAATTTTCGCCACGTTTCACGCACGCACGAACCCTTAGGGTTTCAAATTGAAACCGCCGCCGACAAACCCAAAAATCTATGATTTTTATTCTCAAAACAGATCCAGAATTGGAAAAAATTGAAGAAAAAATCAAAGAAAATCCAAAAATTCCAAAAAGTTACTGTTCATCCGAAAAAAACTTCGTTACTGTTCATCCGAACATTACTATTCATCCGAGAATAAAACTGAATCTTTTAACCAGAGATTTAAGATCAAAAAACCTAATAAAACTTAAATCCCTAAGAATTAATCAAGGTGGCTCTGATACCACTTGTTAGATCTGAATCATAAAACTTGAGATCTTAAAATCATATAGCCATGATTAATTCAAAGAGATTAACAAGGATCTAAAAGAGCGGAAGCTTATACCTGAATCCATTGCTTGATCTTTAGATGGGTTTTGATCTTCTAACCTTAGGGTTCTCTCTAGCCGAATTTCTCTCTAGATGGGGGTGAAGAGAATTAGAGAATGTAACCCTAGATTAGGGACCATAACCCCTTATTTATAGATGTTGTACTTTTGAAATTTAGCCCCTCAATAAATCACAATTACAACCTGGTATCTGCACATATAACCCCATGATTATATTTAAATACCCATTAACCCAACTTAATTGATCACTTTAGTGGGTTATCCTGAAAGATAGCAATACACATTGATTAATCATATGTACCCACAAATAGATTTATTAGATTAAATCCAACAGGGTAGGGTATGGGTGAGCAAATGTGTTTGGGTGAATTTTGCCATCCCTACACTGACCTTAAGACTTTTTTCTCATGCTTAATTTGTAGCAATAACTGAGTTTCATCTGTAGCGTAAAGTGAATGAAAATTGGCCATGGATATAATACACATGACCAAAAATATCCAAAAAATGGACTCAAATGTTAACAGAAAGGAGTTCTCCTAATCCTATTGCTGATGAGCTTGCTCTACTTTGTTATCTTTTCCTGATTTCAGAGTCGCTTGTAAATTTCGAGCATCACATCTCATTAGTCATTACTATCTAATATTGTATGAAGTTCCATATTTTCGCTTGTAAATTTCGAGCATCACATCTCATTAGTCATTACTATCTAATATTGTATGAAGTTCCATATTTTGTTGGGAGTTCAAAAGATTTCATGCTCTAAGAGCATCTCGAAGGGGCCGGATTTTCCGGCCACTTAGCTAAATTAAGGGGGATTGTAGGGAAGTTGCTTCAAGGAGCCAGAAAACTTTCCCCTTCACCTCAAACCCGTTAACGCTCTCCTCAAATTAAAACATTCCCCTTATAATTTTATATTAATATTTTTCTAATGGAGTTAATATATAGTTAATCAAATTTAGGTAATGTATAAGTAATTCAAAATTAAATAATTGAGTTAATGTATAGTTAATTCAATTTGATTAATATTTTTTAAAACGTACCCTTATAATTTTTTATTAATATTTTTTAATTACATGTTGTTTTTCTAGTATAGGGTGCTTTATTAATATTTTTTATTAATTATTTGTTAAATTTTAATATGATTAATTGATTTAATGATTATATAAGGCAATTTCTTAATTTAAATTAATTAATTAATTATCTTTAGTTGTTAGTATTTAATTATTTATTCATTTATAAATAAATCACATATTTAATTAAATTCTAATTTATAAAATTAAAACAATAAATATGAATAATTAAGGGGTAGGAGTACTTTTAAGGGGGAACCACTAGAGGAGAACCTTGCCCTCCCTTAAAAGTTCCCCTAGATTAAGGAAGATTGTAGGGTTCCCTTAGAGATACTCTAAACGTACCCTTTGTTATGGTGGAAGCAAGCTGGATATTGGCTTTGGGTTGTGGTAGAGCTGTAGAGGGATTATCCCCTGAAATGATTCGTCGAGCCGATCCCAAAAGTTTCAGATAAAGACTTGCCATAGAAATTATTCATCACGCACATTATTATTAAGATTAATGAGTATATCAATGAATCAAATACGTGTACAAGCGGTACACAACAACGAGTACTAGCAGCATTCACTCTTCACAAATCTTACAAATCTTAAAAAGCTAGCCAAACTCTCCTCCCTATACAAAGCCTTAATTAACATCCGTTTGCATGACACCGGAGCGCACCGGCGTCCCTCGTCAGTGCATGAACCTGATCTGGATTTCCGGCGGCGAACGCCTCGTCGGGCTTATAATGTGGCGAAACGCCGGCGCTGCCCACCTGCCTAAACGATGCGCCGTTTATGAAGGCGTCGTTCACCGATTTCAGATTCCATGACGTCCCTCTTCCTGGTCCGTCCTCCTTCCATATCACCTGTAAAAATGTAGAACATATCGAATTTTTTTTTTTTTTTTTTTTTATCACCTGTAAAAATGTAGAACATATCGAATTTTTTTTTTTTTTTTTTTGAGGATTCAAAATTCAAATTCCCACTGGTGTTTTATATAAAGGGTACCCGGTAGGTATTTTGTAGAAAAATATCGGAGAGTTATTAGAAAAATCTGATTTTAAGCCCAGAAGAAAACGCTCTTAACCCTGTTTATGTATGGTAGTTTTACTAAGAAGGTGGAGATGAGAGAGTTGTTATATATACTAAATTTGGATAAAAATGTTTAAAAATGGATCGAATGTTTATCGCTATAGTAACTTTTACCAATTTAGTTAGGTATGGTAATTTAGTGGGGAAAAAGGAAAAAGCTAGTGGTAGGCTTTTGTAGTAATAAAATTTACAAAAATGTTATGAACTATATTGGGCAGTAACTATCAATGGTGCTTTCCATAAAGCTATATAGTAATTTATGATAATATCTGAAAGTTTCCTTCGTGATAGTTAGCAGACTATGACATACTAATAATAGTTTAGTAAGTTCATCAGCGTATCCAAAGTAATTTTGTAAAACATAAACGAACTTCATATTGTATTAACTCACACGTTATTTTCTAATAGTACTTGTGTGATATTTCTGCTCATTTGAAAATTTATAGTATTCTTCTAATAGTAATAATTTATGATATTTCTCTTCAGTACTTTTGTACAGATATTTTAATATTAGAGTTAATAGAACTAGGAGATCTAAAGGTAGACCTAGAATGATTTGGTTAGAAGCAACTAAGAAAGATATGATTAGGACTAACTTAATGGATGAGATGACCCATAACAGAATGGAATGAAAAAATAGGATTCATGTAGCCGACCCCAAATATTTGGGGTAAAGGCTTGTTTGTTGTTGTAGTACTTATGTAATATTTAGGGTTATAATCATATATATACTAGCTTACCTCTTTATTACCGACAGCAACGTATAAATTTCCCTGACTCTTGATAGTAGGATTCATGCTGCCACCCATAGCATAATCTCTCCACCCATCATAGAAATTATTCACCACGTGCGCATACCCATGTCGGATCCGGGGCATCCGCTGAATGCAGTTCGGCCCGAAGCGGTTAAACGCGACGGTGACCTTCATATCTTTGTCTCTAACGAACCCGTCGTCGTGGCCCAGGAGCATGACCTTGTCGTGGTCCCTGAACCAGTTGTTGGACACTGTGATCCCTGTGGTTCATAAAAGAATGAAATTTAATCAAATGTATATTCGATCGAGTCGTTTACTTATTAGATATTCGTTTAAATACTCTAGTTATTATCACATTTAGCTAATAGGTTTAGGGGTCTAACCGCTATTGCATTTAATTTAATTAATAGATCTGGGGGTCTTGTTTAGAAATATAAAGGTTCATGGGTCTAGTATAAAGTTAATAAAGAATTGAGGATGTAGTTAGATTTTTAAGCATGATATTTAAAAGAAGTAGTAGGTTCACATTGTAAAGTAGAGATATGAAGATTTGGGAGAATTTAGGGTGTTATTAATGTATTATATGACAAAAACCTTAGGATTTAGGATATTATTTGATTCATTTGCTTATGAAATATTTGTTTTAAGAATTTGATTTCTTATAACTTATAATTGCATAAATGATGGTGTATTTTTTTGACTAATTTATCTTTTCTTTTCACTTTATACATTAATTTTGGTAGACTAAGAAAGCTCAAATAAAAATTTTAAACAAATATTGAAATTTATAGATTTAAACATCCTATTTTTAAAGATATAAGTTTCAAACATAAATTCAAATCATATAAAAAAGAATTAAAACCCTTTAAAGTTGAAAATAATTTTATTTATCTAAAACAAATGTATTTTATTAATTAAATATTTCTAACGTCCAAACTCAAAGACCCTTAGGGTCTGTTTGTTTGCTAAAAAAATGAGAAACCCCCGCCACGTATGATTTCAAGAAATCTCTCGCCATGTAGGATTTTGGTTTTAACCGATTTTCAAATCACACGTTTGTTTCGTTTTCTGATTTAAAGAAATGAGGGTGCCACGTAGGATTTTTGAGAAAACTCATTTCAGACCAAAACTCTCTGAAAACACTTAGAAATATCACTTCAAAGAATTTTTAATTACTAAAAACACCGTTGAAATGGCGGCCGAGAATAAAAAAATTATTTAATTGCTGAATACACTGTTGCTTTTGCGGCTGATTTCCATTTCCTTTTTTCTATGTTCAAACAAACACAAGAAATAAAAATAGATGATTAAAGATAATATTTAATTGCTGAAAACACAATTACTTTTGCGGCTGCGTTTTCTTTAATTGTGACGTGGCAGAGATTTCATTGCGAAACAAACGAAAACAAATGATTTAATATTTTACTTGATTCGAACACGGCCTTACCCGTCGACCCGCGAGTGACGTCAAGGAGGCCGTCGTGGCAGCTGTAGAGGCTTTGGTCCAGCCAGATCTTGAAGGAGTATACTATCGGGAATGCATCGGCATCTCCTGCGCCGGTCGGCTCGACCTTTGCTGCGGGGCCTAGAACTGGGCCGGGCGGCGTTGGGCCGAGGCTTGTGGAATTGGAGTCCGTGGATTATAATGTCATGGGCCTGAACACAGTGGGACTTGTTAGAGCACGGAACTATATATGTTCATGCCATGCACCAAATAGCTTCTAGAAATCGTCATCTTTAATTTCTACCGTTATGGCTCATAAAGTTATCAGCAAAATCGACATCACATTAAAATGCATGTTAATCATTTATAAACGTAGCAAGACCCAGACTTTTAAGAGAAAATTTGCAAAATAGACCGTTTTTATAAAGTAATTAGCGAAATAGATCACTTTTGAGAGTAATTAGCAAAATAGACCTCTTTTTGACAAAAGAGGTCGATTTTAAAAAAATGGCTTCAGAAAACATACGAGACTACTAGTCCCGTATGTTTAAAGCTAACTAATCTTATGATTAGTGCACTAATCATTAGATTAGTTAGCTTTAAACATACGGGAACTAGTAGTCCCGTATGTTTTCTGAAGCCATTTTCATATTTTCAAAATCGACCTCTTTTTGGCCTATTGGCCAAAAAGAGGTCTATTTTGCTAATTACTTTTAAAAGTGGTCTATTTCGCTAATTACTTTATAAAAACGGTCTATTTTACAAATTTTCCCGACTTTTAACTATATATAGACTTAATTAATTTTTAACTTACATGTTCAATCAAGAAGCCGGCACCATTAGCAATGTGCACATCGGCTCCTCTCCCATCAATAGTAGTAAAACTCCCCACAACCAAAGGCCTTTCGAGCCTAATCTGCATGTCTCC